ACTATGTGTGACATGTACTGTTTATAGTAAATTCTATATGTGACGTACACTATATTTGGCAGATGCTAATATGTGACATTTACTTCATATTGCATACGCTATGTGTAGCATACTATGTATGCTATATACTATGTATACTATAGCATACGGAATATGCACTTTAGACGTTACTAATTTTGCTAATAAGAATATTAATAAATATTCGATTTAAATAAATGTCACTTATTCCAACGTTGATTTGTCAAAGTGAGGATATTTTTAGGAATAAGTGCATTGAAGAATATAGAGTTAAATTACACGGATGCAATTTATTGTACAATAAATAATCGAAGAGATTTTGAATAGTTGCAGAATATTTTGGAGAAACTATGTTGAAAGAGAGTGGAGCAGTTCAATATTTTATTGAATACAGGATAATAAATTGAAAAGATTTTCAATAGCTGCAGAACATTTCTTCGTGCAAGTATATCGAAAAAGTAACAGATAAATTATGGATGCAATTTACGATAAATAATTTATGAGTTTTTTAATAGCTGCAGAATATTTTCGAGCAAGCAATTTGCTACACAGCAGAATTTAAATCACGCACGCGGCGCACAATAAATAATAAAGAAAATATTTTAAAAGCACAGAATATTTTCTGTACAAAAATAATTTGCTGAAACAAAAGTTCGTTCACGAATACAGATATTAATGCAGTATATTAAAAACCTGTGCTCGCAGAAGTCCCGTCATTTTATTGGCAAACTACTAAATCAAATGCATTTCTCGCACCCTTGTAAATCGGGATATTTTCGAAAAACGAAACGACTTTCCGAACGACTCGATAAAATAAATGTTTTTGAAAAATCTATTGCTGATTGATAAATGAATTTCTGTTATTCAGGAGTGAGCGGGTACGCGACAGTTCGGGTTCGGATCGGAACGGATCGACTATATTTATTGTGTTTGAGTTAGGTATATTTCTCGGGTTTGGGTCAGATATATTTTTCGAGTTCAAGTCGGGTACAATTCTCGAGTTCGGATCGGAGATACTAAAATTTTTTTATACACTGGTACCCGACACCAAGTAGATTTAAGAATTCAGGTACTTGATATTTTCAGGTACCCGAATATCATATCGGGTCTCCGAAATTTTCAGGTACCAGCCCACCTTTGACATCAAGTACCAGATTACCACAAACGTTCGGGTCCCAACTCAGCCCGAAACACGCTCGACTCGATCCCAGGCACGTGTACCTGAAATTTTCGGGTACAGACCTACTCTTACTAAGCATTACCTGGCTAGACTTCGATGTCAGCTACCCGATTATGACAATTTTTCGGGTCTCGATCTGAACTCGGGTACCCGTTCACCGCTACTATGCCGGGTACCCGAGTTTCGCGAACTTTCGGGTCCCAATCCGACCCAAGTCACGCTAAAACCCGACCCGAAGCTTGGGTACCCGAAATTTTCGTGTACCAAGCCACCCCTACTGTAAAAGAAAAAAAGAAGAAATAAAAGAAAACTGACTCGGCAACTCGGAGCGCCTCGAAGCCATCGCTGCAACATACCAATTCGTGTTTGCTGCGTTCTCTTTCCCTCCCATTTTCCCCATTCTTTCTCCGTCACCCTTTCCATCCTGTTTTCCCCACCGACATTTCCCTACCCACCGTCTCCGTTAGCCCACTTTCCACCCTCTTTTTCTACCCCCTTGAACAGCGCCGCGCGCTCTCGTCTTTCTCTCTCTCTCTCTCTCTCTCTCTTTCTCTGTCTCTCCGTCTCTCTTCTTTTTCGGCGTTCGCGCTCCCCTCCGCGTTCGGCCCTTCGTACTTCGTACACTCCGTCCCTACCACCTTCAGGGATTTTAAGGGCCGCTCGGCCGCAGCGTTGCCAATTTACTGGGAGCGCCGTTCTTGACAGTACACTAATCTTTTTATTGATTTCGCTTAGGGCAACACCTCTATCCCCTACACCTGTACGCGCCACGCTCGACGGACCCTCTTGTTCTTTTTATCGTTTTCGCCGTTTGCTTTGCGAACATCGAAATCTCGGATCAATGTACGAGGATCCATAGTTATCTATGACGGGGGGTGAAACGCGCGCGGGGGGATCAGGTGATACTTTTATCATCAGTTTTAAGGATTTTTTAATTGTTCAGAAATTTTATTTTTAACAGAGATACAAGAATACACGATGCTCTGAACAAATTAATTTTTTGACGAGCCGATAGTGTAGGATATAATTAACTCTCGTATGAACAATTCGATATTAGTGTTTTGTTGTTTCTATATCTTTCTTAACTAATTTTTATTTGTTCTTACGAAGTTATACAAATGTTTTCGAAGATTGTTAATTTTGGTATAGAGCAGTTTAACTCTTGGACACGGTGAACCATTTTCGACGACGTTAATAACAATTCCGAACTTTGTTCAACGATTTTTCTGAATATATTTTCGGAGATATTTCTCGCAGATTTATCAGCCTTTCTGTCGTTCCTAATGTAACAATATCTTATTTTATCTAATTGTCGAAAATTGAGTAATTAAGTGAACAATTTATACACGCTTGGTCAAAATTGACACAGCAATTTCATTACTGAAATTTCAAATTCACTTATACGTTCAATTTCGAGGGCTTTTCTGTTGCTTAGAAATTATATTTTTAACTCGATTTTCTTAAGAAATTTTGATTTTTTAGTGAGGAGTAGTGTAGGGTATAAATAATTCTCGCGTGAACAATTCGATATTAGTAACAGCGTTTCTTCGTTCTTATATACTTTATTAACAATTTTTACTCATTCCTACGATGTTAAATAAATCTTCCAAGAATTCATTTACTCTGCTGCATTCATTCTAATTTTTGATTCTCCGATAAAATGAATTAATTATCGAAGCTTCAAACTCGCTTGCACATTAATAGAAAATAATTAGAAAATCGATCGTGGAAATTGGATCGCGTTAAAAATCGATGCGCGGTAATAAATGTGGCGTCGCATTATAATTATGAATCACACTCTAGCTCGTACAGCATCTTTAACACCGTTCGGAAATAGACACCTGTCCAGCCTGTCAAGCTGGAATGAATTATTCATTCACACGTCGATCTCCCGCGACGCGTAACGTTCCACGATTAGCATAGCAAGCTACAGTATGAATGATTGTCGCAAATACCTCTGCTAGATCCATTTAATTTAAGATATATCAATTAGCTCAAACTGTTCTTTCGAAATGTCAGATAAAATTGAGCATTGGAGCCGAAGTGATTACCGATAACAATATTATTTAAGGGCTCAGGAAATAGTTGCAAATAAATTAATATGATTAAGTGGTTAATACAGTATGTGTGGGAGAGGTATTTATACCTTTCCAAGAAATTTAATTTTTTTTATGTTTATAAATATTTTATATTTATTTTTGTTACATTAGATTTTATTATATACTCGTTTATATTTATCAAAATCATATTGTCAAATATTATATGCTTTTTTAATTATTAAAAATTAAATTTCTTGAAAAGGTATCAATACTTTTCTCGCACATAGTATATTAATATACAGCAACCACAAATATTTGTGGACACCCTTTAAAATGGGGCAACTTTCTCAAAACTGGACCAAACTCGCATTTTGTTGAGATGACAAAAGATCTGATTTACTAGACAGTGTGCGAACAATTTTTTGCAAATATCGCAATTAAGTGGAATATCGAGAAATAAATAATAAAATGTCCAGCGTTTTACATCTGTTTTATTTGAGCGTGCAATGAAAATTTAAACAAGCGTAACTTAATCGATAACCTACTCGCATGCTGAAAATTGCATCACATGCATATAATTAAAACATATTAAAATATATTTAATATATATATATGAAAATTATCATTAAATAATTTATTAATTTCATCCATCCATTGAATCGCAATTTTTTCAAAAATTCTCAACGCACTATCCGGAAAATTAGACGACCTTTGATAATATTCTGAAATAGTTACAAATCGTTAGGTGTAAATTAAAAAAAAATTTGACTTACGTCTTAATACTATTTTCACCGAACGTGTCGATAGACACATTTTAATAATTTTTATTTAACTCTATTTTTACCAAAAAGAGTTGAAAGACATCTTTCACTCCTCGACTCTTATTATAGTCGTCGCAAAATTAATTTTTTAATTTGTGTAATACAAAATATCGATTAAAACATAGCGTGAAAATATAATCTACAAATGCCGAAATGTTAAAAGTACACGTGAGATAAATTATAAAGTTACTCAATTAGACTTAATTCACTTAACTGGAAATTATATAAACAGTAAATTTGATCAGCGAAAAACGCACGCGTCAATAAACAACTTCTTGTTTCTCACAATGAAAAAAATGTGATCACAACAGCTCTCCGTTCCTCTTCCGTTCTTTTCTCTCGTTCCACCATGTATGTACTTTTGCATTATACAATCGTATTATTTTTTGCCCACCTTGTATACGAACGATAGAAGCCAATCGGAATAAAACCATAAAATTGAAATAAACAGGAACCTCGAAAATTATCTTCAAAAAAAGCCAACAATGCGAAGCACAATTTTCATTACAACATAACCTACCAAACGAACCTGACCTAAAAGAAAGCTGTATCTACACTAATTGTCATCGAAACCGCTCACACCCCGCGTTCCTGCGCGCAGCAACGCGCCTAAACCTGCGAGACATTGCTAGCTGCAACAAGAAGAAAAAACCAGTCGGAAAAAGATCATTCCGATGACGCATCCGTCGTAAGGTGCCACGGCGCGGCACCACCAGTTGCGCTGCGTTGCGTCGAACACCGTCGTTCCTCGTATTGTTCGCGGACTCTATTCGCAGGGATGTCGAGCGCCATCGCTAGCCACTCGGCGAGGGTAGTTCGCCGTTGGTGGGAGAGCAGGTTGTAGGCGGTTGGGTGGGGATGGAAGCCGGGGGTTGGGAAAGCCGAAGCGTGGCTCCTCCGGGTGGGGGTAGTCGGTACCTCGAACGACTCCGCGGGTCTCGGAATCGCCCCGCCGCGCTCAGTCCGACCCGGACGTTCGAGGGAGACGCGTCTCTCATCCGTGGTACGTACGCGTCGTTCCGGTTCGCACGTTGTCCTCTTGGCAGGCCTCGTATCCGCTAGGTGTTTCGGCGCGGTACATCCGCGAATCGGCCGCGTCTCCGGTCGCCCGGCAACGATCGTGCGCGATCGGACAAGGAACAGATCTCCGCACGCCACCGGTCCGCCGTGCTGGTCTCTCGTACGCACAGTGGAGTGGCCGTGGGCCGACCGTGCACCGTGCACACGAGGGTTGAGCCGCGGTGAGTGGGAAGAAGAGAGGCCCCAGAGAGGGAGGGAGAGAACGCGTGCAGTGTGCAGACGGTCCTGCTCGCGCCCGGTCGCACGCCGCGCCGCGCCGCTCCGGAGGAACACCGCTGGGGATAGAAGCGCGAAGAAAAAGGTCTCTCTCCGGCGCTCTCTCCGTCTCTCTCGATTCTCGGCTGCCTCGCCGGCTTTCCACGGCCACGAATCGATACCACGCGACCGTCGTCGCCGCGTCGGTCGTTCCTCTCTGCCGACCTCTTCTATCGCCGCGTCCGTTCCCGTCGATTTTTCTGCCGCCGCGCGGCGAGTGACCGCCGCCGCCGCTGCCGGGCCACCAGCCGGCCACCGAACGGCCACCGACGGCCGCGCGCCCTCCTCTCGGACCCGCCAAAAGCCGCGGATCTCTCTCTCTCCGTCTACGCTGGATGTATAGCGGTCGCGGCAAGGTGCTTGTTGTTCTCGTGTTCCCCCAGTGCGGCATTCCGAACAGTCTTACCCGGCGCCGTGACAATAGTGTTTTTGTTTACCCGTGCGGCAGCCCGGTTCCGTCTGCCGGGCTCTAGTGTCGTTGCTCTGTGTGGCACGTGACGATCGGCTTGTTTGGATTGGTGCTTAACGTTTCGGCGGCCTCCTCTCTTTTGTGTGTCTGTCTCTCGGCGGAATACGGAGTAGTCCTCGCCGGTGCCCGCGGATTCGAGACGCCTGCAACGTCTTCGGAAGAGTGAGTAAACAGATCTATTGCTCTGCGATTACGGTCACATACACACATGTGTATCTAACCGAGGATCTATTCGCGATTGTAAATTCCAACCTTGGCCGGTATCCAACGCGCGATCGCTGCTAATTTAACTGCGCGTTTTCATTAGGCTCAGCACCACGCCGTTAATTCGAGAGTCCACGGACAATTGCGATAGGCACATTCATTCGTGTCTTCTTCGCCCGCCGGTTTTCGGCCCAAGTGTCGCAGAATGCACCGGCGATTGGATCGCAGGTATCGGTAGATATTCTTCTGTTTCGTGGGTTACGGGTGACCTTTTTTAAAGGCGACGCTTTCGCTGGACGTTTTAATGAAGCGCGTGCGACGGGTCGAATGAATTTGTCGATTTGGGTGGGCTCGTTTTTACGGGTGCAATAGAATTATTTGAAGAGCGTTTCTCGAGGTGTTTCTTTTAGAAATTATGGTTCCTTTTGTGGACTTTGATGGGGCATGTGATAGTTGGAATTGTTGCGACTTTGTTGGGTCGTCTCTGGATGTTTTTTGACAAAAGTGTGGCAGGGAGTATTGAGGAGCTCTTGGAATTTAGGTTAGAAATTTTTGCAACATGTTTCCCGAAATCTAAAAATGATGGTTTCTTATGCAGATTTCAACGGAACATGTGACACTCGGAATTAGTTTGATCGTTCCTGAGTGTTTTTTGACAAAAGTTAAGATCAGAAATTTTTGCATCATGTTTCCCGAAATCTAAAAATAATGGTTTTTTCTTTGAACTTTAATGAAACATGTGATACCGAAAATTAGTTTTATTATTACTGGCTTTTTTTATTTGACAGAAGTGTAATAAAGAACACCGAGTATATATCTCTTACCGTTACAGTTAGAAATTTTTCCGTGTTCTCTGAGACACTTCTCCTAAAAATAATGGCCTTTTCTACGGGCCTTAATAAAACATGTGACACTCGGAATTAATTTAATCATTACTGCTTCTTTTTTCTTGATAAAAATGTAACAGAATATACCGAGGATTTTTCATAGTGATATTTCGAAATTTTTGAAACATGTTTCTCAAAGTATCAGATCTAATTGATGGCGATAAAGACTCGAGTCTGTGATTTGTAGTTAGTAGCGATTTATGATAAGTGGAATCGTAAAGCGTTTCCGGAGTAGTTTTCTGAAAGTCAAGTGCAGCAACGTTACTTTTCTGTGTTCTGCGAATTGCTGGATTAGAAGTGAAATTCTTTCGATTTACTGCTCGTGAGGTTATAAAAAAAATACAGAGTAGACGAGTTTAAAGGGTTCATTGCTAGTTAAATTTCGGTTCTAGCTTCGTAGGATTGCTTCGATTTCGTCGAGTATTCATAGCGTCGATTTTAAAACGTGCAAATTGGCAGGATATTATGTGAAAATAATTAAGGAATGCGTTTCTACTATGTTAGGGTATATTCCTTTTTTACGATGATTGCTACTCTGCCAAATTGCACCGATTTCGTGAAGCTTCGATTCTGTTCATTTTCAATGTTTTAATCAGTAGAATATCAAGAGAGATTTTTAATAAAAAGCTTTTTTCTACTTCGCTGGTGTCTTTTATTTTTCTACAATCGATTCCACTTTGTCAAATTGCTCCGATTTCGTCGAGTTTTCGTAGAGGCGATTGTCAACGTATTAATCACTATAATATCAAGTGAGATTTTTAATAAAAAGCTTTTCTACTTTCTTGGTGTCTTCTATATTTCTACAATCGATTCTACTTCGTCAAATTGCTCCGATTTCGTCGACTTTTCACAGCATCGATATACAACATGCAAATCAATAGAACATCAGGTGAAATTCTTAAGGAAAAGTTCTCAACTTTGTCAGTGTTTTACCTTCCTAAAGCATTCGCTACAAATGCTACCAACGAAACCACTCAAAATGCTCCAATTCTGTCAAGATTTCATGTCGTTGATTATCGACGTATTAATCAGGAGAACGTCTCGCCGTATTTCTACGAGATTTCTACTTTGTTAATATTTTTTACTTTCCTGCAATAGATTCTACTTTGTCAAGTTTCTCCGATTCTAACAAGTTTTCGCAGGGTCGACGATCATCGCGCAAATCAGTAGAATATCACGGGAGATTTGTAGCGAAGATTTCTCTACCTTGTTAAGGTTTCTCGCTTTCTTACAACGGGGTTTCTACTTTGTGAAACGTCTTCGATTTTATCGACCTCGCGTGCCG